GAAGTTTGATCCCACCGACCATTTGGCTTCATTCAAATCAGTGGTATGTCTGCTCAGAATAAAGGATGCTTTAAAGTGTAATTTGTTCTTCATGATATTGAAATAATCAACTTTACAATCACTTCTTTTAGAAACTTCAAACAAATGTTCGTGACTCAGCTCACCAGCATGCAGAATCCAACAAAGAACTCTTAAGCCCTCTTAAAAATCCACAAAGAACCTATGAATAGCCTTATAAGCTTCGTCTCTCGCTTCCAACGAAAGATGATATATATCCAAGATCTATAAGCTACCATCACCTACGCCGCTCTGGCTCAAGACCTCCATGAGGTGTCGTTCTAATACGAGCTTGGCTTGCAAAAACCAAAGATTTTATCCAAGCTATTGAAGATTATGAATATCCACAGATCTGTTGAGGAGTGTAACTTCCATCATAGTTCCTCCATACCACAAGAATCTTAGATGAGGTTTTGAGCAATCCTCTTAATGATCACTGAAAATTTAAAAACTACTTTGAAAAGAAGAAATCTTGGAATGCTCCAGGCAAGGATTTTTGGTAGGAACAAGGTGATGTCAATAGAAAGCTAGTTAAAAGAATGCTAGAGAGGAGTCGAGAACAACCTTGACTATAGTCACATCTTTAAGATTCATGATGGTTAAGATCATGGATGTCCTTCAAAAGAAAGACTTCTTCAAGAAGCCCTTTCTTATGAAGGCAGTAACTCATACCCGTGATCTCACTAGCAATTATGCTTATCATCATAATCATGTTCACGACATGGAGGAGTATTCACATCTTCATAACATGATCTAAGAATTAATCAGGACAGGAAAGCTGAAGAAGCTTAAGGCCTCTAAAGCCCTTACTCAATGACTGGGTAAGGCACTGCAGAGGGTAATAGCGATGAACCCGCTCCAACGATGCTAGTCCACGTCATTTGCATTATGTCAGTGATCTTCAGATGGTATGGGCCTAAAACTTCACAAAAGTCCATCCTAAGAAGATTGATGATGGGAGAGATTTATTAAGCCACTCTAGTCAAGTGTGATACACAAATCTACACTCATGTCTCTTTATCAAATGTCGATTTGCCCCACTGCTGAAAATCCTTTTAACGATATTATTATGGTCATCACCATCATCGAGGATTACCAGGTCGACATTATCTTGATTGATACTGGTATCTCCATCAACATTTTATTCAAAAGAGTCTTTGAGAAAATAGGGATAGCGATTAATCGGCTTGCCCCCTTCTCTAGACTGTTTTTTGGCTTTTCCAGAGAACAAAAAGAGACTTAAGGAGCAATTGCTCGTCCGATGACTTACGAGAAAGCA